GGAGGTTATAGGACTTCTACCGGCTAAACCGGGAAGGATCCGGGATTAACTTTGCGCACCGGAACCCCCCAGCACCTAGGAAGAGCTACGTCCCCCCCCCCCCCCCCCCCCCCCCCCCCCCCGAAGCGGGCCGCACCCCCCGTCGCCCTCCTCGCGGTTGCCTAACTTACTGGCGAACAAAGCCCCCGGTCCGATCGCCCGCAGCCGCGAAGGTACGCCGCCGCCGAGCGGGATCGGCCCTCTCTCGATCACGCTCGGTGAGCGACGTCCTTCTAAAGCATCACCGCTTCACAGAAGGAGACCACTGCCTCATGGGAGTCTTTAACATTTTTTTTTTGTTAGTCCGGGGGAATCTGCTTAAAGATACCCCGGCCCCGCGAGGGCAGCGCCGGGATTATGTGGGACTGGAATGAACCGCGCGTGTGCGCGTGCGCCTGCGCGTTGCGCGTGTGTGTATGAGCTACATTTTTGGGCAAAACCTGACTTACTTAAGACTCACTTCCATAATTATATGGCGGACGGCTAAGGAGTTAAGTTCCCAGCCAGCAGTCCTATTCCCGAACGCCGAAAAGGCCCCAGTTATCGCAATAACTTGGGCCTTTTCAAGGCGAGAGTAAATAGGCATTATTTATACTCTAGCCAAATTCGATGTAGAATATTTAAAAACGTTGCTAGGCAACCAATGATTGCACAGAAAAACAACATTTTTATTCATTATCTACGTTTGCTCTGCCCACGGCGCCTAATTGGAATCTAAATAGGTAAATAGGCAATTGGGTTGTATAGCAATCATCCTTTATTCCCAGTACTTACAAATTCTCAGTTCCACGTGGATGAATTGTGACCTTCAAATATAATATTTATTCCCATCAGTTCCATGTGATATAAAACTATTTGTTGAACTTGACTTCTTTCTCATCAGATATTTAGAAGTTCATTAACCGCATTTCCAAGGCGGACGAAATATTGTAAAGTCTTTAAATGCAGAACATGCCATGATAAAACAATGCTTTATTTTTAGTTTTATTCATGTAAAAAAATATTGACTCCCGTGCAGATTTTGAAAGCTAGATATTGTCCAAGCTTTTAAAACTAAAAATAAATATTATTAATTATTAACTAAAAATAATTCAACAATTCAACAGTTAATGTATTTTTAATATTATAAGTTGAAATAACCAGCGTAACTGCTCTAAAAGGAAACCGACACAAATCGCACCCTTCATGGAAGAATGGCATAAGTGTAGTAACGTCAAAAATGTTTATTGCTCCATTAGATACAGAAAAATATAACAACCTCTACAATTGTTGTTACTCTATCTACCATATTCGTCGACAAAGTTACAAGAATTGGAGAGGATGTGGATTATATTTTTCTGTATCTCATGGAGCAATAAACGTTTTCGACGTAACTCCACTTAATCCATTCTTCCATGAGGGGTGCGAAATATCTCGTGTCATGAGCTTTCAAACGTGAGCACTTATTTATACGTATGATTTATAAATAATGTAATGGAGTGTTTGAATATTATTAATATTTACTGATAGGTAATACACAATGGTAGACGAAAACACCGACTTCAAAAAAGGAGGAGGTTCTCAATTCGACTGTATGTTCTTTCTTTTTGATTTTTTTTTGTATGTATGTTACGCGATAACTCCGGTATTTGTGAACCGATTTTCATGATTCTTTTTTTGTTGGAAAGGGGGTACTTCCATAGTGGTCCCATTTCATTTTGAAGGAAGATTCATTTTTATAAATAGCGCCTAACTTTAATTAAGGAGCAATTACTTTTAGCAATTATTTAGTCGATTTTGCTATTTCATAAATTCAAAAAAAATTTCATAAATTCATTTTCCCTCGATATAATTTGAGTAGTGTCGTAGTGAGAACCTATTTTTATTGTCTCCAGTATCAAGTCCTGTATAGTGGCGAACTAGGGGATATTTCAATGAAACTTAGCAAATAGACGTAATTCCACGTACTTTTGAGGTCGGTTTTTTAGTACTCTGTACTGCGATTATTATAATATCAAGTGACGGGACGAACAAGTAGTGCGTCTGACGGTAAGCTACTCAGGGCTTTAAATCGCAAAGATCTGAGGGCACTACCACTGTGCCCGGCACCCTGAGACGTAAGTTGACAAGTCCCATGTGCCTGTAATTTCACCAGCACCCTTACCTTTCAAAACCGGAACACAATAGAATAGAATAGAATAGAATCATTTATTTCATATTATCTATTTCATTATATCATTATTCGAAATAAAATATCAAGGGATAATATGATCGTCATTAAGGTAAATAATAATTTTAATGTTAATATAAAATAAAATAACTACAAAAATACAAATAAAAATTTAAAAATTTTCAAAATACAAACGTCCAAACTTCAAAATATAATTATCCAATAAAATGTCTTTCAGTCGGGAACAAAATAATGCTCAAGTTACGGCTTGGCGGCAGAAATAGGTAAGGTGGCAGTACTTGCCTGGACGAACTCTTACACAAGGAACTCTACTGCTCCATAATTAGGGACGATACAGTTTTATAAATAATTACTGGCAATTTTTAGATGATTTGAAATTTCTATTGAACAAAATTCATCACAGACATGACTTCAAAATCAGTATTATCAATAGTTCAATCGTATTTAGGGGAAAAATAATAAAACGCACACACTCAACATAGCCCTGTGTCGCGGGTGCCAATTATATACCCAAACACACGAGGTAAATAAATGTAGGCCACACAAATATTTCTCCCGGCCCACTAATATTTTTAGGGGAAAAATATTGAAATTGGATAACTATGACACAGTCTGAGGTGTACCTGGAAAATCATTATGTTTTTGTTTGTTGACATTTATTCTACATCGAATTTGGCTAGAGTGTAGGCAGCGGCGGATTTGCCCTAAGGCTTAGTAGGCCCGTGGCTAGGGCGGCCAATCGTAACAAAAAATTCACTGATGATATCAATAAACAACTCAAAGTACTCACAGTATTCTAAAGGCTCACGCGCATCGTGTAACAATAATCTTCCTAAATCGCTTTCGTACATTTTATGTATAAAATATAGATAAATATCTATAATGTAATGTGTAATCACTAAATCACTACATATTGTCACTACCGCGTCTGTCTGTCTGATCGGATCGGACTGAACGGATTTTCATGCTGTTTCCACCAATAGACAGAGTGATTCATGAGGACGGTTTAAGGTTTAAGTAAGTTTATAATTTATTTAGGTTTTGTGTAAGTTGGCTGAAATGTTAAATGTCGGAAAAAATCATGCCGGCTGGGCGCTTTACTGGCGTGTACCCCGTAAACTAACAGATATATACGAAATCAATGTTTTAGAAAAATATTAAAAAGATAAATAGTAGATAAATTTCTGAATCGATTTCGATAAAAGTTGGCTATAATGTAAATTCATTGTGGAGTCTACCAGTATATGATGAGTGCTGAGAAAGGGCCGGCTGGTACTGACTGGCCAAGACTGCAAATCCGCCACTGAGTGTAGGTACCTCATGCATCAAAGTGACGATGAGGTCGACGATGCAGCAGAGGGAAAGTCCCTCTGGGCCTCAATTCTGCTAATTTTTTTGATACCATTGTTCATTGTAAATCCAGTGAGACTCCACTAAGGTTACATTGCAATTATGACAATATTTGTAATTCGGCCAGAATATAATTGCAATGGCAGTGATGGCATTCATTTATTCAATTACTAACCGTCGATGTTGCCTTGCTAATATTTTAATATTTATCTCGTGTAAGTAGCAATACACACGAATCGAAATTTAATTCTCATATATATCGCACTGCTATTACAATAGTGTTATAACTTAAAATATGTGAAATCAAAATTATACCATTGTTGAACGTAAAATTTGATACTGTACTCGTCAATAAAACCGTCGATAGGATATTGTAAAAAACAACTAAAAATATCTACGCAACTACTTACTCAAAATGAGACACGCTTTATGTGAGATAGGTCTAGCCAAAATAGTCCATATTCAAAAATATGAAACTATTTTTTCTCTTTTATTTTTAAACATATATAGTTGGCAAGTAGGAAATAACTTATACATAAATTTACACAGATCTTTGAAGGGAAGCTTGTAATTCATTTTTCGTCGATTCTGATAAAATCACTTTTTGAGTTAATACACTATTGTATTAATAATGCGAATGTTTATATAGACTTATAATACATCTGTTATTTTTGTAACTTCTTATATATGAGACAAGCAATTCAACTGATACTACTTAAAATGGTATGACAATGTATCATTTCGGATATTGTACGTCTTACGGATGGATGACAAACATGTACACATTCACACATCCCTCACAAGTACACGCTTACAGACACATATACACATACTTGCACTCACACACACTAACACTAGGGTTAATCTATTTTCAGTCTGAAAAGTTAAAAATTACTGTAATTAGTGAAATATGAATTAGTTGTAACATCAGTTATAGTAGATATTAAGGTAGTCTGTTTCATCATCTTAAAATAAAATAACAGCAAGATTAATATTAATATTATAGAACGCTCTTCTATATGTTATATGGTTCCTAACACAGGCCCCAACAAGCCATAAAGGAAACATCCGCCCCTGTACTATGCCCTTTAAAATGAACGAATAAAACATTTTTATTTATTTAATTTTATTACTTTTAATTTAGTTTTCAAATTATATATTTATAATATTAGTGCACTGCGCCATCGACTCGCCACTGAGAAGCTAAAAACCAAAAAAATGCAATGACAGTTGAATAGTAGCTATGGCTAGCCACCGGCAAGCTACTTATCTTAGCGGTTCCAACTAAAAACCATTACAGCAAGCGAGCTGTAACATATGCTGAGTTGGACCCGTTTCAGCTTATAGATAGGTATATGTAATAATTTAATTAGATAATTAATTTAAAATTAGTAGACTTGGTGCCCAAGCGATATGGAAAAAAAAAAGAATTCACACTTACCTTCGAAGTAAATCATGAACGGCAACAAGGAGACGAACATCCAGGGCTGCACGTGAAAGACCATGTCAACTGGGTTGTGAAGACCGAGTTTTGTTTTCTGCATGAGGAGTTGCGCGAAAGTCCAACGCAGGCCGGATGCGAACGACGCGATCAGCAGGAAGGCGAACCCTTGTGCGTCGAAGTGTGTCGCTTTGTACGTGAACATCACCAGTCCCGATGATATCATCAGCACTATGCCCACGAGAGACCAGGACTGCGAACAAAAACAAGTGCTTAAGTACAAAAAAGACCCTACGACATATTGGTGAAATTACAAGCACATAGGACTTGTCAACTTATGTCTCAGGGTAACGGGCGCAGTGGTAGTGCCCTTTAGATCTTTGCTCTTTTAAATCTCTGAGTGGCACTGTAACTGCTATGGACAGGCGAATATATATATATATATATAGGGTCTTTCAACAAGAACTTTGTTTTCTAAAACAAAATAAAACAAAAAATTTAGATGAAGATGATTCAAATTTTTATTGTATTACAAAGAGAAAAGTTCGGCAATTATGAATGAAAAATGATATCTGGCAAATGTCCACCACGACCACGCTGACAGAAGTCGATTCTTTCATCAAAATTTTTAATCACTTTTTGGCAAAATGTCGGGTCTATTTCGGCTATCACATCACGGATTTTGAGTTTTAAGGCTGTAGTCGATTCGATTGGCTCCGTATAGACTCTCTCCGTATAGACGACATAGCGCACCATACAGTGACACGTTGAGCATGCAAAGGCTTCTCAATAATCGCTCTAGGATCTATTTTTTGTGGGGCTATCTTAAGGACAGAGTTTCTTGAATTTAAGTTTTGAATTTAAAACCCTTTATATCGGGCGTCTCCGCATGTTTGTCGCAGCCAAGAAAGACGTACGATCGTACTCAAAATTAAAACCGAATATTTAGTAGCAGTACAGAGGCCTTACCATGAACTCTCATTACAGTTTAGTATAGGTTCGTAACGACAAAAAAGCGGGATGGTGTATACACTTAATGTAGCGCTGTCTCACAACGAATCATTTTGTATAACCTAAAGTGAATTTTTTTTTTTTTTTTTTTATACCTGACAGGCAAATGACTCCACTCC